GAGAAACTGTGTCAGGAGACTAGTGTTTCATAAGCTCTTCTCTGTCGTTGTGCACCATCGAGTTGATCTGACTTACAATGATCCAGAGACAAAGTAGAACTGTTCTATAGGACTTCGTAGGCTTTAATCATTCCAGGAGCAGATTGCTAACTCTTTGCTCCTGTGGAGCCGCAGGTGGCTTTGAACAGCTAACCTGTAGAATAGCAACTGAACGTTTAATCATCACACCAGCAGAGTTCCTTAGCTCCCCTAAGGAAGCTGTTGTTGTTGTTAGGTGCCATCAAGTCATATATGACTCATAGTGACCCTGTGAACGATGGATCTGAACCGTGCCCTATTCTGTGGCATCCTTTTCATCTCTGATATGCTTGAGTCAATTGTGACAGTCACTGTGTCAATCCATCTTGTAAAGGGTCTTCCTCTCTTTGACTGACCCTCCACCTTTCTCAGTATATGGCCTTTTTCCAAGAACTAACTGCTCCTAACAATACCAAACTATGTGAGATGAAGTTTCATCATTCTTGTCTCAAAAGATCACCCTGGCTGTACTTCCTTCAAAATCTATTTGTTCGTCATTTTGACATCCATGGGATAATCTGTACTCTTCTCCCACACCGCAACTCAAAAGCATCCATTCTTCTGTCATCCTTAATCATTGTCCAGCTTTCAAACACATAGCAAATAATTGACAACATCATAGTTTATATCAGGCACACCTTAGTCTTTAAACTGACATCCTTGCTCTTTAGCACATTAAAGAGGTCCTTGACTGCAGATTTTCCCAACACAATGTCTTTTGATTTCTGTACTGCTGATACCAAGGGTGTTGAGTGTGGATCCAAGGAAGATGAAATCATTGACAACTTCAGTCCTTTCTCCATCTGTCATAATGTTGCTCATTGGTCCAGTGGTAGTGACCCATGGTTTTTTTAAAGCTGAGATATAATCCATATTGACAGTTGTAGTCCCTGATTGTCTGCAGCAAGTATTTCAAGTCTTCTAAGGACTTTTAAAGTTGTGTATTTTATCTGTGTAAGATCTGTGTGACAGATATATACCCCAAATCCCTCCCCTAAGTTCGTATGAGATCCCCTTTAGGGGACACAGTGACTCCCAGCTATCTCTAGTTCTGTTCTACAACTCCACAAACTGCAGAACATCATGAAAAAAGAATTGCTGACACCACCTAAGTTCCTACTTCATGTTAAAAGTAAGAATTAATATTTTGTTAGATAAGGCCTGTGTATCTCAGGGCCCTGTAGATGGGCCCTGTTGCTAGCCACTTTTTATTGGGAGGTGAGGGTGAGGGAGAAATAACATATTTTCACAAAGAAGTAAGCCTTTATTTAGCTCTATAGAATTAGGATAAATAAAGTACCAAGAAGATAAAATGGAATTGGCTTTCTTCAAACTGTCCTGGGGGTCTTTTTATTCTAGCTTAGATTCTTTGTCTCTGTGTCGACGCCATTCTGAAAACCAGCTCTCTGAGGGTCACTTTCTCGTACTTTATGGCTTTGAAGGGTTTTCTTGGCCTCTCGGATATATCATTTCTTTTTGCCCTTATGTTATATCACACTGAAGGTATACAACTATTTGGCTTATCAGATCTTGGGGGATCATTGCAGAGTTTCCATATTTTATCTTTACATGTATTTTGGGGGGACACAGTTCAGTCTATGACACGATGATATTTTACATCTTTGTGACTATTTGATCCCCAGTGATTAAGGGTTGAATGTAACCCCCCATTAATCTTATCACAGCCCTGACCTGATTGATGTAAAGGGAGCTTCCCAGGGGCCTAGAACATTTTTATCTCCAGGAGGTAAGAGAAGGAGAGAAAAGCTAGCTAAAAGGGGAGCCTCAGTACCACCAAGAGTACATCCTTCTGGACTCGAGTCCCTTCGCTAGGAAGCTCCTTGTCACTGGGCAGCCCACGGTACCTGGAGTTCCCCGAGGAACAGCCACCATACAAACTCAAAAGGAAACATACTCTTCCGGAACTGATGGAGAGGGAGGGCCTTCCCTGAGACATGGTACCTTGACTTTGGTAATGTAGCTCTAATGGCTGCCAATCCAAAGGCTGACCATTTGAATTCATCAGCTTCTCTGAGGAAGGAAGACGAACAGTCTCCTGTGCAGCTCACAGCCTCTGAAAATCTGGTAGAGGGTCAGCTGGGAGTCCTCCTCAATGGCAGTGAACATCGGTAAAACAGGAAAATATTTTTTCCTGTGAAAGAAATCAGTCACATAAGACTAATACTGTATAATTCCATTTATATTAAATGGTCATAATAGGCTAATTAGTGGTTGCTTGGGCTTAAGGGGGAAGAATGGGAACATTCAGGAGTGATAGTGTAAAAGTACAGAATTTCGGGGGGCATATGTAATGTTCTAAAACTGTGATTGGATAACTTTAAATATACTAAAAGCCATTGAATTGTACACTGTAAAGGGGCCCGTTGTACAAGAACTCTAATAGTGCAGAGATTAAAGTGGTCGGCTATTAACCAGTTAGTGGTTTGAGTCCATGGAAGACAGATGTGACAGTCTGTCTGTGCTAATCCAAAGCCAGCACCTTTCTAGGGGTTCAGGTCCACCAGTGAGGGAAAGATGGGCAGTTTCCTCCCATGCAGTTTGTTCATCGTCATAGACTCAGAACCAACTCACAGCTGATTCTCCCACTGGTTTTTAGAGGCTGTAAATTGCATGGGAGGAGATTGCCTGTCTCAGTCCCTCAGAACAGTTGGTGGATTTGTAGTATTTGCTTTGGGGTTGGCAGCACATCTCCTTACCACTGAGCCACTAGAGCCCTGATTTACAGCCTCCAAAAAGCTTCTGGAGGATCAGCTGTGAGTTGGTTCCAGCTCACCAGCCGTGAGTTTGAGTAAAAGTCTTTCCCTTAAAAATGTTTTTCTATTGAAGGGTCCAATCCATTACCATGCATTGAATTAGTTTGTTGTATCCTTAAGAGGACTTAGTCTACTCCAGGCTTTTTGAGTTTTTGTCAGGAGTGGCATAGAGGTGACATTGTTTGCCATCAAGTCGAAACTGACCCATAAATGGATCCCCCAGGTGCGTTTTCAGTGGCAGTAAATCACACAGAACAAGAGCTCCCTGTATACTTGTTAGTGTGTTATATATATGTCAGTCCTTGAGCAAGTGATTGAAGTGGTGAAAGATGTATTTATCCATTGTAAAAGTACTGGATTGGGCACAGGTGCCATCAAGTAGGCACAGAAAGAGGGTTTGCTTAGTTTCTGGAGAGTTCTATTTCCTTATCTGTAAAGTGGGGAGGGTGGTACTAATTGAGGGAGATCTGGTGACTTAGTGGAAGGAGCTGAGTTCTCATCCCAAAGGCAGATGATTCTAATCCACTAGCTGCTCCACAAGAGAAAGATGGACAGTCAGTTCTTGTGCAATTTACTGCCTATGAAAACCTTCAACTATGGGTCAGTTCTAATTCTCTGGTCAACAAAATATTTTATTATGATATCTAGGTGTTAATTGCATATAGCTGTTAACTGAACCAGTTCATATATTAAAGAATAAAATTAGAAGTCAAATTAAACAAATAAGCACAATTAATAGAACTATCTTTCTTCTAACGGAATATCTTCTGTTTTAATTAACTATCCCAACAATAGCATCTTGTGCCTCGAACTAATTTAGATGCTTACATCTTGCTTTATGATCTAAAAATTGATGCCTTCTCAAAATTTCACATCTTCTAATATGGTGGCCTAGTGCTAAGGGGCTGTGCTGCCAGTCCAGAGGATGTGGTTCAAATCCACAAACTCCTCCGTGGGAGAAGGATGGGCAGTTTCTCCTGGGTGATTAACTGCCTCTGAAAACCCACTGAAGGGTCAGCTATGGGTCGGTTCTGACTCTTTGGTACATAATAACAGCGGTAATATTGAGAATACAATGATCTTGGCCAGTTAATAAAGCTCATTTTATTTATTTGGTGCATAAAAGCTTCTTTCCATGCTCTGTGCTGTGCAGGACTGTCGGTGTAGAAAAGAGAGGAAAAGACTGAAAAGCTTTCTAGTCTAGTGGTTGATCTTTGGATGTCACATTTTCTTTTCCTTTTTGTTTTTAAGTTTGTTGTTAAATTGGGTGGGAGGAAATTTTATGTGATTGTATTTATTTGGTCGAGGACTGTAGCCCAAAAGCTTAATTTTTTTCCCCCTAGGTAGACTATTTTAGATATTCACAGTATCCCTTTCTTACATAAATTTAATATGTTGTTGTTATGTGCCGTTGAGTCGCTTGCGACTAATAGCGACCCTATGTACCACAGCTCTAAACTCTGCTCTGTCCTGTGCCAATCCCATTTTCTCCGAAACACTCATCCCGATTGCCCCAGTCACCAAATCAATCCATCTCCCAGAGGACCTTCCCCTCCTGTGCCTGCCCTCCACCGTCCCAAGCATGATGTCCCTCTCCAAGGACCAGTCCCTCCTTATAACATGACCAAAGTATGTCAGACGAAGCCTCAGAATCCTTGCCTCCAAGGAGCAGCCCGGTTTAACCCTTTCCAGGATGAATCTGTTTGTTTTCTTAGCAGTCATGGCACTCTCAACAATCTTCTCCTACACCAAAGCTCAAAAGCATCAATTCCCCTTCTATCCTCCCTGGTCATTGTCCAGCTCTCTAACACATAACAAGTGATTTAATAATATTAATTAAATTTAATATAGAGATAATTTAATTAGACAGGAGTCTCATACATACAACTGCTTTGACCTAGTATGTCAGAATCTTCTCTGTTGTCATTAGTCTCATATGGGGACAAAGATGACAGTGTGTTGAGGGAGTGAGCATTTTTATTTTCTCCTCAGAAGTATAGTGGGCAATATAAAAAGAGAAACAAGTATTTCCTCTGTAAATTTCTATGCCAGCTTGCTACTCAGTATCTGTTGACACTGCACCCAAGTTTGTCACATTGATGTAGATGTGACACAAATTACACCAACTCTTTTTTATTTTTTTGGCAGGTGTCCTCGTGGACTTGGGGCTGGAGGAAAGTGTGATGGCTCATCAGAGAGCAGAGAAATACATTGTTCGTCTAGACAACGATATTCAAGCCAAGTTTGATGTTTTTATGAGAAAGGTGAAGCAGAACCCGTACACACTGTTTGTGCTCGTTCATGACCAAGCCCATGTGGAACTAACGAGGTGATTGCTTCAGAGTGAGCAGATACAATCTTTTTCTTTTTTTCCTACCGCAGTAGTTATTACATAAGAAAATCTTTCAGGAGCTCTAATATATGACATCTTCCTACAGGTAACATTGCTATCCTTTTCTTGCTCTCTCAATTTTATTTTTTTTTACTTGTTTTTGTTAGTAATTACAATGAAAATTTACAGAGATTTTGGATTTCCATTCATTCATTGTTACACTTTTCTCCCTGCCCCCCTCTTCCCCAGTACACTCTTTTCTTTGAAAAGTAAAAGAAAAATTCTTTCATTGTTTTACACTCGCTCCCCCCAAGTCCATCCCACTATGCAGCCTTTGTTCTGGACTATCACATATCCCTTTTAAACAGTTTTCTCCCTCATCTGTTTCAATGCAGTGTACATTATTTATCCCCTCTTTCTCAGGCTCCTCGAAACCCCAATGTCAGTTCTGTTTTACAACAGTGGCACCATGCAGTATTTTTCCCTTTGTGACCGAGATACCTCACTCAGCTTAATGTCCTCCAGGGTCACCCATTTTGAATAATATTGCAGGAGTTCCTTGTTTTTCAATACAGCATAGTATTCCATTGTGTGAATATACCACAGCTTCTCTATCCATTCATTTGCTGATGGGTGCTTAGGTTGTTTCCAACT